GGGAAGCGCGGAAGAAAGGCCCAACCAAGAGGGTGGGGGGGGGTTTAAAACCCCCCGCCCGCACTTATAAGCTGCCCCAAACGGACCCTCAGTCTTGCTCTTATTATTGTGTCTCTTAACCAAAAAAAGAAAAAGAACTAGATTTTGTCCTAATTAGTAACTAAGAGTTATTCTAATCTAAGCTGGGTAAGTGGGATGCGAGTATGAAAAAAAATTGGCTCATGATATTTTTGATATTTTGATTAAAGCTCTACTTGAGATTAGTTTTTAAATTTTTTATTTTAACATGAGATGAGTGATACATAAAAAAAATTATATCACGTTTACTTTAAAATAATATTATTTAATTAAAAATTTTAATTCAAAAGTTTTCGCATGATATTTTTTATAGTGTGCGTCATATCATAATGTTACTTTTTTTCAACAACAGTTTCTCTCAAATGTAACCACATCAACTTTTGGAAAGCTAGATACCCATCTACGTCTCTACTTCCTATATATATATATTAAAAAGTGTCAGAATCAGAAATATCATCTCAAGAACAGTAAAAGAGGTGAACCGACCTCGCAAGCTTTACCATGAACGGTCAGAGAATACCTGCCCCACAAGGCTGATCTTTATGTCATAGTTGCGGTGCGCCTCACATGGTAGGGGAAAACCACCTCCGAAAGATCCAACTGATCAGAATTAGTAGGATGAGACCACCACCGGCGACCTCGGATAAAACAAAAAGACCGACGATCTCCAAAGCCCGAGGAGCAGAAACTTGGGCTCTTAACAAATAGCCAGTAGTCCTAGCGACCATTCGGTCAAACATCCTCTTGCAAAATAGCTTGTAGGCCTATTGACCCTTCATCCGTGCAGCATCCTGGATCCACAGGTGTCCAACCAAAATGCCAGTCGGTCATTATTCGCCGACCCACTGGCTGAATTCAAGTATGGACCAAATTACCTTCGTCATACCTACACACCGTAAGGATACAATTATGTAATTTTATTAAGATCCCTTACTTAAAAGAGGGGATTCATTTCGTAAATAAATGTTATGCAATTGTAAATACACACTGAGGCGTTAGGATTGTCTAACTAACCATTAAAAGAAGACTATGACCCGAACTGCAATTACACAATAATTTAGATTTAAAAAAATGGCTAAAAATTACCCAATTTATATTTAGTGGCCAGTGTGCGAAATTGAAATGTTTTGAAATTTATAAAATAGTTTACATACTAGGGGTACTATGGAAGCATACATATTGTTTCCTAAATTTACTAATTTAATATAAAATTAATGTTAACTAAATCAAATAAAAACCTAATCTAAGGAGATTGGCTAAAATTTGGAAAGTTTTTATATAATTAAAATCTCTTTCCCCTTGCGATGAGATTATAATTAGTGTAGGAACCAAATGTTTAAAGTTTAAAATATTATATTATAATAAATAGGAGCATACCTCCTTCTTTACCTTCTTTCGAGTGCATAAGAAATTTTGACTAATCTAAAGTAAGTTCTAGCTTATGTGGTAGCATTGGGTAGATTCTAGCCTGCCATTTCTAGATTACCCACAGGGCCCTCTCTGTAGGACCTATCAGAGACCCTTAGTTCAAACTTTAGACCAAATTGGTAAAGGACCTAGCCTGTCAATACAACTAAAGTATATAACATTTATATACACATTTTCATACCATATTTTGAGGATATTGCATTTTAATAGAAGATATTTGTGTATTTTTCTTTTAGGTACAGTCAAATGGATGAAGAATGATGAAAGGAGTGAAAAAAGGATCAAATTCGCAGCAAAATCGAAGGTGTGCAAAAGAACCGCGGTGTCTAAGCTCCCACGACTGATACATAAGCGTCAAAATAACAAAGAAAGCTCTGCCTAAGCGCTGCATACTTTGCGCTTAAGCATCAAAGGTAGTTATTTGATGATTCAATGAATTTGGACAAACTTTTGAAGGGGTGTTTAAAGAAACTCTTGGTGAAAATGTTGGTTATGGTTAATGGACACGAAAATACATTCAAATGACTATTGAAAGAGACAACACTTGGAAGATTAATTAAATGTGGACACATTTAGAAAAGACACCAAAACACATTTTGGAAAATTATGTAAGAAAACTTGGATTGAATGATTGAGGGAGACTTAATTAGCCGTTGGACGCCCCTCTCTCTTAGATTAATTAGGATACTTTTATAAAGAAGAAAGGGAGGAGTTGTAGTGTGTTAGTAGAGAGTATTGTACAACAAAGGAAGAGAAGAGATTCAAAGGAACTTCAAGAATTTGGTGGAGAGGAATTTAATATAAGTTTTTATTTTTGTGACTACATTTAATTTTATTTTAGACTTCTTGTGTGTTTACATGATTTCTACTTTTAAACATAAGTGTTGTTGTGATTTCTCTATGAATTCTGAGTATTTTTCCTTATCTTTTTCTTTAAAATAATAAGATATTAAGTATTGGATGGAAGTTGTGTGAACTATTGGCTTTTATTGTCGGAATAAGTTGTGATGATTTCAAACATTATACTTCATTTACTTCTTGATTTGACTAATTAAGATGTTAATCTTTGTTGTGAGAACATGTAAGATCTGAGATGGTATTGTCTTAGTCAACTAATGATAAGAATCACATGAGATTGTATGAATGAGAATGTAATTCATATGGTTAAGTGCAAATAAATAGGGAAATAAACTTTGAAGGGTATAGAATTAGGGAACTTTAGAGTGATAGGCAAAAGCCCCCAATTTGATTGAGTGTTTTAGCCTTGATACAAGATGTTAGCCAATAGGTGGAGGGAGAAGAGAGAACTTTAGAGTGAGAGCTACTTTCTTCCCTACCTAGCCCGTCTTCAAGACTATTCAAACTTTAAATTAGTCAATGTTCTTTATAGCATCCTAGTAAGGGTAAGGAATAATATTGCTCCGATTTGATACAACAAAATTTAAATAATTACACAACAGAATTTTTATACTTGTTACTGATTCATGATAAGAAAAAAGATAATATGTTTACATTGCCATCTTCTTACAAATATCTAGTTAAATTTAGTTAGTTGTTTACTTTATTTTCAATTATCAAAAATTACTAAAAATATTCAAACTTTCATTCTTATTATAGCATTTATAGTTTGAATAAGAATATCTTTCAAACTAGAGTTTTTTTATCTAATTTCTTATTAAAAATTTGTAGTATTCCATGTGGGTTCGATATTTGAGGCTTAATAAAAAAGTCCTATATTACTTGATAACGATACGTATACTTACGTATACTTACGTAGTATCCTAGTATCCTAATATTTAAATATAATTGTTGCACTCTTATTTGCTTTAGAGTCAAGTTTTTGGCACCTTTGTAAAGTAAGAAATATAGATAAAAAGAATTGAGAATATAACCACACATACTTCGTAGTACTGTCAGAAAAGTCGGCATCAAGTTTTTCGCTCCGTTGCCTGGGAAGTTAAAAATTTTATTGAAGGAACTTTTAAGAAAGCAAAATTTTAATTTTTAGAGAGTTTCATTTAAACTTTTAGATTTATTATAGGAATATTTTAGTGTTGGTTTTATATAAGTTCTTATTTGTGTGATTTTATTTTATGTTGTTTTGTAGTAATGTATGTATAGTTTAGATTCTAAAGGACTAGTGCTCTACAATTCTGAATTAGAAAGAACTGCTAGAAGAATAGAAAAAAATAAAAAAATATAGAAAAAGATTAAAAAATTCAAGAAATGACAAACCAAAATAATCAAAATGTTGAAATTTATCAAGAATTTAGACCTTTAAGAGATTATGCAAACCTTACAGTAGATGAACTTCCTTGTGGTATTCAAAAACCTGCTACAGTGGCTAATTCATTTGAACTTATACTCGCTATTATTCAAATGGTATCAAATAATCCGTTTGGGGGAACACTAACTGAAGTTCCAAATTTAGATCTTGACAATTTTCTTGAATTGTGTGCTACATTTAAATGTGATGGTGTTTTGGATGATATTATTAGACTTAGACTTTTTCCATTCTCAATTAGAGATAAGACTAATATATGATTAAAGTTAGGATTAAGAATTTGGCGTCGTTGCTGGGGACAAAATACAAAATTTTTTAAGAAATTTTTAGAAAGCAAATTTCTGATTTTATAAAGTCTTATTTAAGCTTTTAGATTTATTTTAGGAATATCATAGTGTTGTTTTTATATAAAGTTCTTATTTGTGTGATTTTATTTTATGTTGTTTCATAGTAATGTATGTGTAGTTCAGGTTCTATGGGACTAGTGCCCTACGATTCTGAATTAGAAAGAACTATAAGAAAAATTTAAACTCAAAATTATTGAAAAAATAAAAAATTTCAAAAAATGACAAATCAAAATAATCAAAATGCTGAAATCATTTAAGAGTTTAGACTTCTAAGAGATTATACAAACCCCTATGCAAACTCTATAGTAGATGAACTTCATAGTAGTATTCAAAAACCCGCTGTAGTGACTAATTCATTTGAACTTAAATCTGATATTATCCAAA